AGAAATCTCTCATTTATACGCACAGAATGAAACACAGCAATGTCACCTCAAGATATTTATGGTAAACCAGTTAGCTTGTATATGGAAGGAAGAGTTTCAGCCTCACAACTGCTTCCTGTACTTCACTTTTGTCGTTTTTTTCCTTTCTAGCTATATCATTTCAGCCAACAATCTTCATGCATCGTTACTCCTTTCTGTGCTCTCTAAACTGCAATAGTCCGATCTGCTGGTCGCCACAGCATCTGACCATATGGAGTTAACTTTGATACGAAAACGGGATTCAGACCAGACTCGCCTGCCGGTCTTTCATGCTTTAGTCATAAAAACTAACTAGTTTAAGTGTTGGTCTAGGCTCACCAGGTAGTTGTGGTGTAACAAGACCTCATTTCAAATGTTTTTGAATGAAAGCAGCAAAGAATGAGCAATTCGTAGGTTGGTCTCAACAGAAGATAACTTTGGATTGTCGTTGGTTGTTCGCGATAGTCTTCAAGTTTACTCGGTCCTCGAGGTGGAAACTGGTGATTTTTTCTCTGTCATGTAGAAGAAAAGACATGGCCAGGACGGGATCTCATTCTCAGAAAGAATTCTAGCTAACACAACGGCCAAGTGGACAAATCCGCCTTTCCTTCCATACCACCTATGCTTACAGTGACATAACGAATAAGTGTAAATATGGGATGATTTGGTTATTTTCTTTCCCCATCTTTCCTAGTACATGTATGTTTGAGCACATGTAGGTGGTTGAGTACATACATCAGTATGAGATCGTCAGACAATTCTGAGCGTAACAGGAGTCCGTGGTTATCAAAGGTAGGTGCATTACTGCAATTGAGTAATCCCGAAAGTATGCCTGTTTAACTTGACGAGCCTAACAGAGATGTAGAACCAGTGTGAATGTTGTGATTTTTCGTTTATGAGTAGACTCCCAAGACTGCCAGTAGATCGTATATATGATATATATATTCCTACTTTGATATGGGAAAATGCCTAGCTTTCCTTGAAATGTGTACCTGGTCTGTTGCCCAAGGACAGTCGTGGCCTAGGTGAGGTCGAAACTGCAGTTTAATCCAGCCTGGATGAGAATAACTTTGGGAAAACAAGGCTTAGGGAAATTCAATGAAATGCTAAGGTCTATCCATATCATTGTGGGAGAATTCAACTACCAGTCCCCATATCACTTTAAACGAAATAGGTTGTAGTTATCATTGCTATCGAATCGACTGGCAGAGCACCTTCTTTTTATAGGTTGCTCAACAACTTTGCTGTGAATTTCATCAATCAAATATAAGTTGTTTTTATGTAAGAACTTAAGTAATTATATTGCAATCAAAGTAATCCTTCCTAATTTCGTTAACCCTATCAAATTTTGTTTTAAGCTGTAAGTTTATTATGATTAACAAACCGATGAGGCTGAGACATTTTTATCTCAAGAATTCAAGCCTACGTCACCAGAGGTGGCCTAAACGAGTAGGAGCTGGATTTCCCAGAGAGGAATGGACAAAAGGCTTCGCAATGTCATATGATTTCCCTCAGTTGCGCCATCCACAAGGTCGACTTGGTTAGACTGGATTTAAAATTCTATATCGCCTCATCGACACCCAAACAGGGTTCGAAATTTGGCTTTGGATAAAAGGTTACGTGCACTTATTTGCATTTCTAAGGAAAAGCTGGTTGGAAGGAATTTGTCAATTGGTCTCACCGCAACCCGAAGGAAGAGTGCTGCGGAATGAAATGAAGATGGTTGGATTGAGCGAAAAAGTTCTCGTTTCACCATCCTGCCAACCAGATGGACCCGTGCTAAGCTTTCATCTGTACCATCGTAGCAGGCGTCACTAGAGCGACACGTCTACGAAAAGAGTGAGACAATCGTTCTTCGCTTTCCGGTCAGACCAATTCATGAATTCGTTCCAACCAACTTTTCCTTCGAAATGGAACGTTGAATCGTGCTAACTAACGCTAAGGGATTCTTCGGAACATAGCTTTCTTCGTATATATGCGATTCATTAGCACAATGAGGCGAAAATTTCGTGATATGCTCTTCCGGCATATACTTGATCTCATTCTTGCCCCTGGATGTTCCCATCAGCGCGTCCACATGGCTGGAACAGAACATGTTCAAGGATTAACGACGCCCACTGCCAAAGCTCGCCATTTGTTGTCCGCCTGATCCTGTCGACGTGAGCCTTCGGGGCGTCTATTTCGAAGAAGTCAGTTGACTGCAGTTCTTTTTTCCCGCCACCGTCGCAGTCAGCACCTACAATTTGCATAGTCCTGCAGACGCATGGCATAGGCCGTGGGAGAACCACGCATACAAAAAAGGTACGTGTACTTACAAATCATAGTCTAACCTGAATGAGAATACCTTGTGGGAAAGCAAGGCTGTGTGAAATTCAATGGCAACGTCATG